AACTTGTCGACTCATTTAACACGGATTCCCCGTGTGGGTTCCGGGGTCCCATTGTCTGGAAAACGAGAATAGACCCACTGCCTGCCCAAAAGCATGTCGTACGAGTCGACTAATTGGGAGCTTGCTTCGAAGTCGGAATACGTCTGCCTGAGAGGTAAGGAACAAACAGTCTGCATGCAAATGAGTCACACCTGTGAAACAGATGTGCACGTAACACTCATTTTCTGGAGCAAGACTGAAGTCCAGAAGTGGACGAACAACCATAACTTTTTCGGTGTAGTTTACAGCCGGTGAACATGAAGAAGATTTGGTCGTTGCAAAGGCAATGGCAAACTACTTAAAGTAAACTTGCCTAGTAAAACCACAAACTGCCAACTTTTTTTCTTTTTCTTAGCGTTCAACAGCTATAAACTCTGGCGGAAAGTTATGGTTGTTCGTCCACTTCTAGACTTCAGTTTCTGTTCGGGAACGTGAATTTTTTTAGGTGCATATCCGTTTTACAGATCAACCTGTTTGAATGCAGACTGTTGTTTCTCGCTTCTTACGCAGATTGGCCCCAATTTGTTAGCGCAAAACAGATAATTAGTCGTATTTTATACATGATTGATAGAAAGGCAGCAGTTATATTCTTCAAACCGTGCAGGCAAGCCCGTCTGATAGTCAGTCTTCAGCAGTGAACCCCCCCCCCCCCCCCCCCCCCCCCCCGGACTCGAAATGCCAAGACAAAGAAGACTGACTAGGGAGAGCAACGAGACGCAAGGAAGACGTGCACACAAATAAGCCGACATTTCGTCCAACATTGTTATCCACGCATAGAACAGCCGACATTTCGTCCAACATTGTTATCCACGCATAAAACAGCCGACATTTCGTCCAACATTGTTATCCACGCATAAAACAGCCGACATTTCGTCCAACATTGTTATCCACGCATAGAACAGCCGACATTTCGTCCAACATTGTTATCCACGCATAGAAAACAGCCGACATTTCGTCCAACATTGTTATCCACGCATAAAACAGCCGACATTTCGTCCAACATTGTTATCCACGCATAGAACAGCCGACATTTCGTCCAACATTGTTATCCACGCATAGAACAGCCGACATTTCGTCCAACATTGTTATCCACGCATAAACAGCCGACATTTTCGTCCAACATTGTTATCCACGCATAGAACAGCCGACATTTCGTCCAACATTGTTATCCACGCATAAAAACAGCCGACATTTCGCCCAACATTGTTATCCACGCATAAAACAGCCGACATTTCGTCCAACATGTTATCCACGCATAGAACAGCCGACATTTCGTCCAACATTGTTATCCACGCATAAAACAAGCCGACATTTCGTCCAACATTGTTATCCACGCATAAACAGCCGACATTTCGTCCAACATTGTTATCCACGCATAGAACAGCCGACATTTTCGTCCAACATTGTTATCCACGCATAGAACAGCCGACATTTCGTCCAAACATTGTTATCCACGCATAAAACAGCCGACATTTCGTCCAACATTGTTATCCACGCATAAAACAGCCGACATTTCGTCCAACATTGTTATTCACGCATAGAACAGCGACATTTCGTCCAACATTGTTTATCCACGCATAAAACAGCCGACATTTCGTCCAAACATTGTTATCCACGCATAGAACACTCGCCGACATTTTCGTCCACCATGTTATCCACTAGCATAGAACAGCCGACATTGTCGCCAACATTGTATCCCACGCATAAAAAACAGCCGACATTTCGTCCAACATTGTTATCCACGCATAAAAAAGCCGATCATTTCGTCCAAACATTGTTATCCACGCATAGAAAACAGCCGACATTTCGTCCAACATCGTTATCCACGCATAGAACAGTCGACATTTCGTCCAACATTGTTATCCACGCATAAAACAGCCGACATTTCGTCCAACATTGTTATCCACGCATAGAACAGCCGACATTTCGTCCAACATTGTTATCCACGCATAGAACAGCCGACATTTCGTCCAATATTGTTATCCACGCATAGAACAGCCGACATTTCCAACATTGTTATCCACGCATAGAACAGCCGACATTTCGTCCAATATTGTTATCCACGCATAGAACAGCCGACATTTCGTCCAACATTGTTATCCACGCATAGAACAGCCGACATTTCCAACATTGTTATCCACGCATAAAAAAGCCGACATTTCTTCCAAAATTGTTATCCATGCAAAGAACAGCCGATATTTCGTCCAACATTGTTATCCACGCATAGAACAGCCGACATTTTGTCCAACATTGTTATCCACGCATAGAACAGCCGACATTTCGTGGGGTTTCCGGGAAAATCCAGTAGAATAGGTGTGTTAGGGTGTGACATTAACACCGACGAAATCTAACCCTGCCACCCCCCCCCCTTTTCCCACTATAATATTGGACTTTCCCGGGTGCTACCCACGAAATCTCAGAGTCCCCGAGGTTGGATGAAGGTACATTACGCGAGAAGCGGTCCACAATAAGATTGACTTCCCTTACCATTGATGCCTCGATCTAGTGTAGCGCTTGCACCATGTCGCAGGGGTTTCAGGCGTACCGAGTCGTATTTTACTTCTTGTTGTCGGCGATCGGCGATATCGCGTCTTCTATGCTGTGAGCTTTAAACGCTCCCAAAATATGTTCAAATGGGCCTAACCCCAACCCCCTACTCCATAGCCTCAGCCTATGTCCCACGACTGTATACGCTGCATATAGTCGTGCGACCTAGGATCACTCCTGCGACATAGTGCAAGTGCTACACCAGATCGAGGCATCAGTAGGAAGGAAAGTCACTCTCATTGTGGGCCACTTAACGGGATTAGAACTGAGATGAAAGTACCTTCGTTTGTTATTGTGACTTCAGAGTTGGGCTGCAAGAGTGAGTTGCTGACACAAAGGTTCTCAAATGCTGTACAATTATGAGAATATAATGGACAGAAAGGAAGAGTAATGAAGACGTTTTGAAAGGAACTGATTGCCCACATCAGAAGGAGACAATCTACATTCTTTGGTCATGTGATGAAAAAACTGGAGTACATCGTGACAGTAGGGAGGTTGGAGGGGCAGAGAGGCAGACGAAGACCGAGAGAGAAGATGCTGGATGTTTGCGTGCGATCTGGCAGGGGCATCACACACAGGCCAAGTGTCTGGGGGATTTGTATGTATAAACGTCTGTGCTCCATACCTACACACTTGATTTTCTCCATCCACCAACCATGCCGCCCACTTTCCTTGACACGGCACATGCTGATGGTGATTATAACTGGAGTAAAGGGCGGCCAACCAAACTAAAGCATCACTATATGCCAGGCACAAGTTAGGCATCACTAACATCCCGTTAATCAGCCCCCGTCGCCTTCCCGTCACATTTCCACGTTGGTCAACTCACAGTTTCCCAGCACCGTGTATGAACTTAAGGATACCCGTCAACCAACTACACATCGCCGCAACCGTGTCGACTCCATACACCTGACCGACACTAGTCCATTCTAGAAAAATCACTTCGACAGAATTCCTAAATCCAACTCGTGAACCGCAATCGTCCAAACATAATAAAACATTGCTAAAACACAGTCGATTCAACTACTGGACTCGAACAACACGTCCATACAGAAAGATGAACTGAAAGCCTCTGACTCAAACTACCACGGGACTTTTCCAACCAGCGATTAGTTAATGTGGATCTTACATTCTCGCCAACACTCGGGACTCCCAACCCACTCCTATTGTCTACCCACATGAATCCCACATTCCTCCACACAACTCGGGGAGTTTGCAGTCAACCTTGAATCTCAAGCAACTTCTATTTCACCCGCTGCAAGTTGCCCAAATGTTAACACTCTCTTCCAGTGACCCCCACATGTTTACATTCCCAAACTGTCGAGACAAAGTCCTGGCTTCGTTAACTCTTTACAATCCCCAGTAATTTCACATACAACACTGGACAGTTTGACCACGGAGAATCATCTGTGTCAGAGTTGATTGAAAGTACACTAGACAGAAGGTTGTGGAATGTCATGACTACCAACGCCACACGGCATGCTCTTGAACTCATTCAGTCCCATGAAGTGTCTCGAGGGGTTACATTTAAAAGTAGTAAATACTTAGTTCGGGGTGAGTGTCAGCAAAGATACTATGAGACAAAAGTTGGGGAACTTAAAATTCAGATGCAAAGGGTTAATATAACGACTATTTGTGAGAGGAGACAGTATATGGTCTTTGTTAATGGCAAATAACGTAGAGTGCGTTGTTTGGCGCTGAAAGAAAGTTAAGAAGAAGAAGGTATATAATGACGAAAGTTAGATTAAGGTTGAAGTCAGAAGTGAGTTTGTTTAGAAGTCTTTTGTTGGTATCTTACGAAGTTAAACATTTACTGATAACTTTCATTATGGTATCTCACCTAGTAGAACGTTAAGTCACAACTTTCATACGAGTATATCCTACAGTAGAACGTTAAGTCACAACTTTTATACGAGTATATCATACAGTAGAACGTTTAGTCACAACTTTCATACCAGTATATCATACAGTAGAACATGAATTCACAACTTTCATACTAGTATATCCTACAGTAGAACGTTGTCACAACTTTCATTCTAGTATATCCTACAGTAGAACGCTAAGTCACAACTTTCATACGAGTATATCCTACAGTAGAACGTTAAGTCACAACTTTCATACCAGTATATCATACAGTAGTACATTAATTCACAACTTTCATACTAGTATATCATACAGTAGCACGTTTAGTCACAACTTTGATGCTATTCTCTGAGTAGAACATGTACACTAACCAATATCATGCGTGCTTGCAACGATAAATTTACTGTCCCGCCGTAAGGCTAGCTCACAAATTAGAGGAAGTATTCAAACATGAAGGAGACTAACAAACATTTCATCTGACTACCATTAACTTCACAAAATGTTTCCATGCAGTTACCGTACAACATTGATTCCCCTTTGTTCATCTTCAGGTTTGTACTTGTGGGAGCACATACTAGAAGGGCTACTGGAGCCTCGTCTCAATGGAATCTGGAGTTTCGGGGAACGGACTCTCCGCTTTATCAAATTCAG